ACGTTTTTGCTTTAAAAGCGGTTTTAAAAGTGTTGTTTTTCTTATTTCAGGTCTGTAGGTAAGTACATATTCCTTATTTATCTCATTAAGTTATAATTATAACATTTTCCTTACCTTATCACACCTACGACATTAGGCAGTGGCACACACAAGAATTTTTCAAGGGGAGGGGGGGGGGGGCAGAGGGTTGAAGGTCTGCCATTCTCGTATCATACCCCTATACGCAGCTTAACATATATTTTATTTTTGTTTTTGTCGATTGTAAGGAACAAAAAACAGCAAAAAATAAATTATTGAATAAATAATTAACATTAATCAATAAAAGTTACTAATAACTAATACTTAATTACATTTTTCGTACTATATACATAGGATTATAACCTATCGAAAAAAAAATCAAGGGGGGGAGGATCCGGCCCGTGAACCCCCCCCCCCCCCCCCCGTGTGCGCCGTTAACACTGGGTGGACCGTAACACCTTGAAAGAATTAGAAGTAGCCCGTACCCTGGAAAAGTCTGCCCACCCCTGCCTTATATAAACGAAAGATAGTTAAAAATAAAACCAACCACAATAATAATCGAGTAGGAAGAGGAGGTAAATCTTAAAACTCACACTTACGGGTGGCTGAGTCACGTCTTCGCACCTGATAAATGCGGGAGCTATTTAGCGCGCGGGGTCTGGCAGATAAGCATCGAAGTGGAGCAGTGGATCTTTATCAGAGAGAGATTAATCTTGCGCCATAAGGTAACGCTCCAGATAATCCCCACAATGAGCCTCATCACAGTGGGATGGGGTAATGAGAGATGACCGGGAACTTGAATCGAGTGGGATGGGCACAAAACAAGAAAAATTGGAATGGAAACACTGAAGTACTTAAAAATTGTTGGCTCATCGTCGATGAATACGAATATATTTTAAAATTTGTGTACTTATGACATAAAAGCGCAATGTCACAAAAATCTAAGGGGAATCTCCAGTTACTGTCTCCCATCATCTAGAAAGTATATTACATTTAATTTACAAAAAATGTGATTTGAGATCTTTCGTCTAAAGAAGGGAATGCTTAATAATGATAAATTGAACTATAAATAATACCTAATTTAGTACAATGGAAACAATTTATTATATAACATTTGGATAATGATGTTATTAACATAATTAGATTTTCATAGTATATGAGCAAAATTCTTTACATGAATGATTTTTTTCTATGAAATAAACATGACAAAAGTATTTTAGGTTGGTTATATTGCAAAATGCTTTCACAGACAAATTAAACAAGAATACCGTAAAATTCGGCGTGTAACGCGCTGGTTATACGCATCGTTTTTTCAAGCTGGATTGTTTGATTTTTAGGTATATTCGCCGTATAACTCGCACTCCCTTTTCACAAAGAATCATAAAATGCACACGTGCTATTATCTTATATTTTGAAGTCATTTATTCAAGGTATTATCCTAAAAGCTTTAAAAAAATTATTATACTTCTAGAGCTAACAACCTATGACTAACCCAGTTTCTGAGTGGTAGCGTACCGCGCTTCCACTCCACAGGGCCGAGGTTCAAATCCCGGGCTGGGCAAGGTCAACTCAGCTTTTCATCCCTGCAGTGGGTCGATAAATGAGTACCAAGCTTGCTTGGAAACCAAAAGGTGGGGGTTTCGCGTTAGACAGACGATCTGACCGGAACATCTGTTCATGCATCTCAGCACCCAGGGTCATGAAAACTGAGCTGGGCACAGTAGGCCTTGAACCGCCATGGGCTGTTGCTCCACTAAGTTTAGAACAACAACCTTTTAAATTTCCGCAAAGAAAGTCATTTCTATTAAATAAACATATGTCGATGTATGTTGAAGTCAAACTTTTTTTTCATACTCATCTTTTTTTTTAATTTTTAAAGTTCTCATTTTTATACCAGGAATATAACGCGCTCCCGCAAATTTCGAGATTTTTTTTGTGTGTGTTAAAAGTGCCGGTAAATAAAAAATAACGAATTTTCGGAGAAAGTTTTTCAATTGATTCTCTTCAAATTTACATAATATTGCACTATATTGTGACAAAAAACAACAACATATAGACTGATTCATTCTTTCCTAGAGGTTATATATATATATATATATATATGTTGAGACAGAGATTTTTATATTATAACGTCACGCTATAAAGTAACATGAGGGTTATTAGGGACGACCTTCGTAATTTTGAACCTCGGTCAAGTGACGAGGACACGTTATATAAGCTGGTACCTTCCTCTCCAAACTACCACATCACTCCAATGGGAGAATTTTGAGTTTGACAGATTTAATGAGCATCAGCCCCTTCTACATAGCGGGTCTTTAGTGGAGGACTCGAGGCTGCGACACTCCAGCCGCGATTTCACGATCACAACCACTAGGACACCACAGCCCTCATATAAATGCTGTAAGTGGATGGTTAGGATGCAAAAAGCAAGCTTAACCCTAAATCACTGACCTATGTCAGGGTATAATTTTCAAAAACGTAATAGTTTCTCCTTTTGCTCCATTGAACTTTTCTTCTCATGATCTAATTTTCAAAATTTCATGTCCTTCTGTTTTATAGTATATATTTACACACTACTAAACTATCGTTATTCAATTCTTGCTATTAGTTCGCACTCTCCCTTTATTTATATATTTATCTTGTGTGTTCATATTTTCAACCGTTAAATAAAATACTTTTTATTCATCCACTCAAGTTTCAAGTACATTTTTTTAAATTTGTAGTGGAGGATACTTGATGTTAATACAGTTTTTCAAAAATTAACTCATTAATTTTTATTTAATTAATGAATAAATAGTAACACAAAAAATAATTGTCCAACACCATATTTCAAAAAGAAAATCGCTCGTTGTGTCCCTGTAGCGCAATGGATAGCACGTTGGATTTCTAATCCAAAGGTCGTGGGTTCAAATCTCACCTGTGATGGCCTAATTTCTGAGAACGTGTTTTTTTTGCTGTACTATTTTGTCGGAATAATTAAATTTAATTAATGAATAAGTAGTAACCAACAAAAATAATAGTCCAACACCCTAAATAGAAAGGAAAATGGAAAACTGCAAGGAAAACTGCTTTCTATTTTGCCACTTAATATTGTGATTCTGTCATATATATATACACATAATTATAAAAATTGTGATTATTTCATAAAAAGTAACTAAAATAAAACTTTTTTTTGTTGACCTAAGTAGGAACTGATTAATTTTTTTTCATATTACTTGTTTCTTTATGATAATTGTACCTCTTTCTATCAATCTATCTATATTTGCAAATGTATATTTATAGAGAGAGGAAATTTTATAAAATCAATATAGTATCCCCCTTAAAAAGGATTTAATTCTTCCCATTTCACTCTGGTTTTGAAATCACTCGGAGTAAACAACAAAAATTGTTTGTTCAATTCCCCACCTATTCTCATGAACCATGGGTAGAATAATCTAATAAAGCAAATAACTTCCAGATAATTCAATTCCTCTTAACGTAAACAACTTCCTTTCGTTACTCATTAAAGAGAAAATTAAATCTCGTCTAACCGTGGTATCTATTTCTCCCGAATAAAGGATTAGATTTTGTTGTGGGGCGACAGAAATTCAATCTCACAAGAAGAGGAGCAGAGGAAGAGAGAGAGGAGGGGGTGACAAATCTCCTGGAAATGGAGATCTTCCACGACACATGCGGGATTTCTGGGAATCGGGAAATTCAAACTGACCTGTCGACCCTTGGAGAGCAAATAACAGGGGATAAAGTGATGAGGGGGGAGTGGAAAAGAGTTTCGAATTGGTACAGGAGGGAGGGAGAGGGAGGTATCGATCGTGTGAAAAAGGGGAGAAAGATGGAGGGACTGTCAGAGGCAGTGATGCGCATGAAAACGAAATTGGGCTCGGGGGCCAAGAGGACAAAAATCACATTTGCGCACAGCTGATGGGAAATGACTATTGGATAAGGCTTCCCCACCCCGTTTCCGAATTCGATTGGAGGGTGGGTGATAACGAAAATCCCAGAATTAAAGTTAGGGAGTTTTCTTCGATAGATATAGCTTCGATTTGATTTTTAAAAAAAATAAACTACGAAATTTCGAGAAAAGAATTGAACGACGTTCGATGTAATACTTAAAAACTTGCACACACAGAGAGCTCAACAGAATCACTTCTTTATACGAGTAAATGAAATATCTTAAGGGTATTTGTTGTTGTTGTTACTAATGCCACCTGATCGGCAAAGGCCTGATCAAGGCCCACGAAATTCATCATGGCAAGGGCTAAGTGACGCCTATCGTTAGCCGTAGCTTTGAGCAACATACGGGTGACAGAATGATTTAGCTCGGTTTCACCCCAATTTTGAGAGAGAACACCCTGGGGGTGGTCAGGGGTCTCTCGCCTCTCTTCCCCTTCCACCAACCTCACGAAAGGACTTGCGGCTCGACGGCTATTTAAAGTACCCCCATGTCGCGAAGGAACTATACATTTACAAACAGTCCCAACGGTACAGCAGTCAGCGTCGCTAACCACCATACCGGATGGGCGACTTAAGGATATTTAAAAGGGATAATTGGGTGAAATAGTGACATACTGAAATAATAATAAATTAAAAATAATCCTGATGATGCAGTTATTTATATTTATTACCCTTTTACATGAATGGACGATCCCACCATATATTTAATAAAACAATGATATTTTTTATTTAAAAATCTATATATGTATATAAATGTATGTTTGTATATGTATGAAATCGCATCACTCCACACACAACACCATTCAACCGATCTCTATGAAATTTGGCATGTATATGATTATTTTTATGGAGAAAGTTTTTGTGCTATCCTCTTTGTTGTAGATCCCTACCAAGTGGCACTACAGCCTATCAACTTGTTCAATCAATCACCAAGTTGCCAACAGGGTCGCCAAAAATGATGCCAACTTGGCTATATCACCAACATTTCACTATGTTTCTATTGAATCGTCATTATAAATGTAAGGAACGGTGAATATTACAATTTTAACGTAAAATAAATACAACAGAAAGTAATACTAACGTGTTAAACATCCAGATATAAATTACTTACACTATTTTAAGCGTTCATTACACAAAATGTTTAACAATGTGTTACATTTGCTGAGCAGAGATCAGCTTTGGTAGGTGTTTTCAAAAATCGACCTACAAGAGAGTTACGAGGCGTTGTAAAATTAAAAAAAATCCTCTTTATAAACTATTAGATCTACAGACTTAAAATTTAACAAAAATGGTTTTTTTTTGTTCAGCTGAGATATGCGAAAAGCTTTTTTTTTGTTTTGTTTAACTTGCAATTCACGTAAAACTAACTCATTAAAAACTTCTTTGTCCTTTGTAAAGGCCTCATCCCAGGGGACGCTTCCTCGTCATCTAATCGACCTAATCATGTAGGAGGTAAAGATGGATGACCCAGATTAACCATGATAACCCTATTTATTATTACCAAAGATAATATTCCAAGACAAGCAAACTATAAAGGGAAACTTTAGAGTGATATAAAGAAAGCTCAACCTTATGTGAATAAGCGTACGAAATCCGAATAGCTTAACTTTAATCAATGTTATCTTAATAATCTTAACTTCCCTAATTTATTTCAGTAGTTAGAATCCGTCCTATAGTAACACGGCGAAATTCTGATTCTTACTGTATCAGCACTGCTTTCATCGACTCCGCTCCCTTTTCCTTCTAATCCACGATTACTAAACTTTAACTAAAAAATCCTAGCTAATCTGCATATCATAGTTTCTTCATTGAGAGGGATGGTTGCGAAATAACGCGATTGTGCTGGCCCAAAGATTCCCCAAGATGATTATTAGTAGAAAGTCTCGTAATGCCCCGTCACACCTTCAATCTGTAGTATTTAATTTTTCAATTCATCCATGCGAAGAACGGGTATACCAGCAAGTATGATAGTAAAAATGCTGCATCAGGAATCACACTATTCAAAAACAAATGTCATCCCATTGCTTGAGTAACATAAGAGACGATTTAAAATTTCCTTATTTGTAATAAAACTACGACAATATATCAACAATTGAAAGTCAATGAGAGAGTTATTATTAACGTTGCACTATAACGCAACATGAGGGCTATTGGCATCGGACCTCGCGTAATTTTTAACCGGGGTTAAATAACGAGGACGATACCCCATTCTCCTAGCTTCTACAACACACCAACATGAGCTACGACAGATTTAACGAGCATCGGACGGAGGGTCTTCAGCGGCACTAGAACTCGTACCCACGACTCGACAACAACGGCCACGAGTTCATGACCATGACCCCTAGGCTACCGTGCTCACTAATAAATGAAGGATGTCTCTCAAATTTAGAAAACAAATTATATTCGTTTTCCTTAAAAATTCCATACATTCTCATGAAAACCATTTAAAACATCAACATCGAATGATGTAACAAAGCATTTTTGTATTTAGCAGGTAATTAAATTTTGACAGAAAAAGCATAAACTTCAAGAACAGAAAATATATGATACAAGAAAAATAAGAAAAATTTAACAAAAGGAACTGTGAATGAAATATTACTAGACAGTTTTAGTGAACAAGTGTGTTCCTAATTTCAAATATATATTCATTAATTATTATTCTATATATATCGATATATCGATTAATTCATAGGTATAATATGCCTTTTTTTAAATTAAAGAAATAAACTTTGATTTGAAGTATTTGTTTTTATTTTTTTACTAAACTCAAATTTCTCGATCATTAAAAATTTATGGACTTATTCTAATGAATATTTATGAATGTAAATATTTACATATGTAGCAAAATATAAATCTTTATTAATAGAAATACGACAAGTTGTTTTATTCATTTCGTTTATCGTAAAATCCGGTGTATAACGTGCACTTTTAACACACAAAATGAGATCGAAATTTACGGATGCGCGTTGTACACCAGGTACAAAAATGAGAACTTTAAAATAAAAAAAGGACAGCATAGAAAAAAATTAGATTATATATATCGAAATATTGTTTATTTAAAAGAAATGCGCCATACCTTATGAAAAAGGGTTGTAAATCTCTAGAAGTATACTATTTTTTTCAAAAGCCTAAAAATTATCTCAAACAAATGACTTTAAAACATAAAGCATTGCACACGTACATTTCATGTTTCTTCGTAAAATAAATTATAGTTTAAAAAAAACTAAAAAAAACACGTTTTATAGTGAATCGAACTAAAAAGTACAAAATAATTCTTAATATAAGAATAAAATAATTAAAGAGAAAATTAATGTCATTGTGGTAAAAGAGTGTGGGGTGTGCTTTGTACTACATTTTTATACTAACTCTGCATTTCGGAATGGAGCTAGTAAAAAATTATAACAAAACTGATATCCAGCACCTCACACTTTTATCACGACATCAATTTTCTCTTTAATTATTTTACTCCTATATTAAGAATTATTTTTTACTTTTTAGTTCGATTAACTATAAATGCGTGTTTTTCTGTTTTTTTTTTAGTTTTTTTAAACGACAATTTCTTTTTCTTTTTTTAGTTCGATATACAATAAAAGAGAGCTTTTTTTAGTTTTTTTAACTATCATTTATTCACTGATGAATTAATCCTTTTTGTTTGTTGTATTTGTAATTATCCATGAGAGTTTTCGCTTTAGGGTTGTAACTTAATCTTTTAGTCACCAAATCTGGAAATGGGATCTGGAATTAGTCACCAAATCTAAAAATGAGAAATCTTAAATCCTGATGATCCTGATCAGGACAATCGAACAAAATTATTAAATTAATGTATTGTCTCACATCGGTCTTTGAGAAGTGTGCAAAATTTCGAGAATTAATCTGACCTTTTAAAGTGGGAAAAATCGAGTTCAAAGATTCCGTTATATGAAGGTGAAGCTAATAAAAGCATGTTAAAGAGTTGCGCACAGAACGGCGAATAT